GAGACAGAAAACAAAAACCCCCCCCCCCCCCCCAGCGGGCATGGCCACACCACAATTCCTTCTCCTTCTTTTCTCCTCTCAGGATCTTGGGCACGCACACACATGCGCCCGATGTGACTGGGTCTGGGACTCAAACCACAGTCAACTACATGGGAGTCCAGTGACTTAGCCATTGTGCCAACTGCTGGTCCCAACATCATTCCAGATTCACCAGCTGTTATCATCTTGCCACACCTGTCTGATCTCTCTAAACTGATGCACATAGGTGCATGTGCACACACAGCTGTGTCCTTCCACCAAGCAATCCAAAAGTGGCCTCGTGATATGACAGTTTATCCCTAACTACCTTCACACACATCTTTGAAGAACAATGATACTCTGCATTCATTATTTCTTCCTGATTAAATTCAAGTCAGAAATTTCTGGCAAGAACACCTCAAAGGACCATTTGGTAATATTAATTAACAGTAGATTACTTAAGTAGAGAACTGAGAAGTTTTCCTCGTAAGTCAGAATAGGATTTTTTAAAATCTAGGTTCTTGCCATTGACTGGCTGACATTGTTTTGCTGCTGCATTCCTCCTACCTTAGCCTCCCAGATTATAGGCCCAGCCTTTAGGTTGGACAGGGAAATGAACTGAGTCCTCCCATGTGCTCCTGGTGTGGATGGTACAGTTGTCTTAGTGTATGCCATTGTGGCTAAGCCAGATTTTTTTTCTTTATTTTTCAAATGTTTTCATGGGACCAGCAGGTGGCGTGGTGGTTGAGGCGCTGGACATTCCCACATGGCCAACCACAGTTTTGAGTCCCAGACCTGGTGGCTTGCTTTCTCACTTTCCCTCTCTCTCTCTCTGGTCAAATTAAAATAAGTGAATAAATAAATAAAACTAAGTTTAAAAAATGTTTTCATTTATTCATGATAGAGTTCACACACACACATGTGTGAGAGAGCTAGAAGGCACCTCCTAACATGGCCATGCAGCATGTCAGGATCCTGGGTGTGCACTCACACCTAGTGTGTTAACACAGGGACCAGGATTTAAACTTCAGAGACACATGTGGAACCTGGCCTCTGCACAGCACCAAATAGCTATGGGGCCAGCCTGGCTTTTATTTATTTATTAAGTTTATTTATTTCCTCCACAAGCCAGAGAGAGAAAGGCCAGTGAGACAGGACCCCCAACTCTGACCCACACCCACTCAGCCAGCACTGGATCATGGTCACATATGTACCTGCTGTACTCAGGGAGGCCTCTGGACATGAACTTGGAACCATCCCATGTAGGTCAGCCTCACAGAGAGTCACATTTTACCACTGTGTCACTGTCCAGCCCTAGATTTATTTCTTCACTGTAAAGAGACATCGAATAATTCATTGCTCATCTTTCACTGTCAGCTTAGACAGTAAGTGAATGTGAAAATAGTGACTGTGTGTATAAGTTAGATATGATTATCCCATAAAGTTGATAAAATATAGAATATTATTCTAACATCTAACTTTTAGATTTTCTTTTTATTCTTTCAATTGTATATGAAGTATAAATCAAAGCCATTCTGTGAAAAACTGCTTTCCTGGGTGAAAAGTAGTAGCTTCGCCAGAGTTGTTGTTCTTTCCAGCAGTCATTCCTATCACCGTAATGATCTACAGCTTCGTAGGTATGTCCTTGCCTTTAAAAAAAATTGTTTTTGTATGGTTTATATTATGATAGTTGTCTATTTAAAAATGAAAAATTTTAGAAGCCATGTATATCCTTACCTCTCTTCAGTGAAATTTAGAAAAAGGAGAGTAAAATAAAGAGATAGGAACTACAGTTAAGTAGATCTTTTAGTTTCTGTGCAGTTAGTACAGTTGAGCTACAAGAAGGCTTACCTTTAAATAGAAGGCATTTTGGAAGCATGTTTTTATTGTTTGCTGTCATGTGAGTGACAGCATCACAGTGCTCAGCTGGCTAAGAGGAAAGGGAGAAAGGGAACCTGAGATTGATTGGTACACAACTATTGAAAGATTTCAGTTCGCTTATTTCTGTATTTACAGCCATTTGTGTTTACAATGCCTTTAAGTATCACTCCCTGGCATGTCAGAGTGAATCTTTAAATACAAGACAGAGGATCCTAGAAATAGAAATACAAACTTATATTTTATCATTACCACATAAAATTGCTAAAATTATACAATACTCTTATACTCTAAGATCTAACTTGTAGATCATTTAAATGTAACTTATCATTTATGCACCTGTAAAATCGGGATGAAAAACGTTGATAAGCCAAGAGTTACTTTTCAAAACTGGAGCCAATTTCTGGGAATCTCACAGTAAACAGAGGGAACAAAGCTGTGGACAATTGGTTTATTTTTACAGTGGCCTTGTCTTATTTTAAGTTATTCTCTCTCTTTATATTCTCTCCTAAATATGTAAATAGCAAACCAGAGCAAGATTTTTTTTACCTAAGTTACCATAGTCTGCTGGAACTTGTGTTTTGTCTTGTGCAACAGAATGGAGATCAAGATAATTTTAGCTAAAAAAAACCCTGATATTTGCCTTAGCATTCAAGTCAGTTGTGTGATTATTGTTTCTAGTACTCCTTTCCGATACCTACTTACACCTTCCATGCAAAAAAGTGTTCAAAATAAAATAAAGAGTCTTAACTGGCAAGAAATGGAAAAAAGCCCATGCATTCCTGAAATAAGTGATTCTGAGCTTTGTGTTCGTATTCCTGGAGGAGGAATCACAAAAGCACTCTATGATGAAAGGTGAGTTTGCCTCTTTGTTGATTTTTTCCAACCTTATTTAAAAAAACAATTAAGATAATAAGAGTATATCAGATTATTTCTTGGAACTTTGAAAATACATTTATTTATTTATATAATTCCATTTATTTTATTATTTTTAATTTGATGAGAGAGAGAGAGAGAGAGAAAGCGAAGGCGAGAAAGCAAGCCGCCAGGTCCAGAACTCAAACTGTGGTCAGCCATGTGGGAATCCAGCACCTCTAACCACCATGCCACCTGGCAGCCTCTGAAGATAGATTTATTAAACAGGTACAATATTCGAGATACTGTATTTGGGGAATGATTTTTAAATTTTTTTTGAAGTTTACTTCTTAGAGAAAGACAAATACCTGCAACAGTCTCTCATACTACAGTCCCTGTCCCTCAGCCTTGCCCGTCCAGCAGGGATCATGGGCACCTATAGTCCCAGTACACACAGCTCCACCAGCCTGGCAGCATTCTGCTATTGTTGTGCCACCAGGGCTGGGCCTGGAAAGATTTAAATTTCATTATAGAATTGGTTTCCGGGGAGTAGTCATGCCACAGTCCCTTCTCCATTTCTCCATCCTTTTGGGATTTTGGACACACACACTCACACAAGCACTCAGCATGTTTTTCAAGCCCCTGGGCCCAGAATTCAAACCACGGTTGGCCATTAGGGAATTCTGCTCCTTTAACCACCAGGCTACAGGGCCAGCCTGAAGAGCCAACTTTTTTTTTTTTTTTTTTGAGAGATTTTCACTGTAGGGCACATGCGCTCACCAGACAGACAGAGAGAGACATAGAGACAGAAAGCGAGAAATCACCCCCTAGGGGGGATGGTCACGCCACAATCCCTTCTCCTCCATTCTCCTCTCGGATCTTGGGCACGCACGCACACGCGCCCGGCGTGAGTTTTAAGCCACCAGGTCCGGGACATGAACCGCGGTCGACTACGTGGGAGTCCAGCGACATAGCCATTACGCTAACTGCTGGTTCCCAAGAGCCAACTTTTGATTTTGCTGGTTTTCTGTGTTGTTTTTCTATTCTCTATTTTATTTACCTCTACTCTAGTCTTTACTATTTCCTTCCTTCTGTTAGCTTGCTCTCATTTTTATTTTTATTTTTCCCAGGGTGCAAACTTAGGTTATTGAAGTCGTTTATTATTTTTTTAATTATTTATTTACACCTGTATGTTTTCCTTTTAGCATTATTTTCATTGCACACCATAAGGTGTTTTTATTAATTATTTAATTTTGTTATTACTTATTATTATTTTTTAATTTGACCAAAGAGACAGAGAGAGAGAATGAGAAAAGGGGAAAGTGAGAAAGCAAGCCACCAGGTCTGGTACTCAAACCACAGTTGGCTATATGGGAGTCCCAACACCTTAAGTACCATGCCACCTGCCGGCCCCAGCATACGTAAGTTTTAATATGTTGTATTTTAATTTTCATTCATCTCTTAGGTATTTTTATTTTTCTTCATGATTTTTTGACTCATTCATTGTTTGAAAAAGTATTTAGTTTCCATGTATTTGTGAATTTTTCAGGTTTTTTTTTTTTTTTGAGAGGTTTTCGCTATAGGGCGCGTGTGCTTACCAGACAGACAGACAGACAGAGAGAGACAGAGAGAGAGAAAGCGAGAAATCACCCCCCAGGGGGGATGGTCACACCACAATCCCCTCTCCTCCATTCTCCTCTCGGGATCCTGGGCACGCACGCACACGCACCCGGCGTGAGTTTTAAGCCACCGGATCTGGGACACGAACCGCGGTTGACTATGTGGGAGTCCAGTGACATAGCCATTATGCTAACTGCTGGTTCCCCAGTTTTCTTTTTATTATTGATATCTAGCTTCATTCCATTGTGATAAAAAAAATACTTTGTATTATTTCAGTATTTTTAATTTATCAATACTTTTGTGGTTTAACATATAGTCTGTCCCAGAGAATATTCTGTGTTTTTTTTTTTTTTTTGCTTTTGTTTTTGTTTTGTTTTTGGAGAGGTTTTTGCTATAGGGTATGTGTGCTCCCCAGAAAGACAGAGAGACAGAAAGCAAGAAATCAACCCACCCAAGAGGGGATAGCCATGCTGTAATCCTTTCTCCTCCATTCTCCTCTCGGGATCTTGGTCACGCATGCACACTCACCCAGCATAAGTTTAAACCACCATGCCCAGAACTCGAACCACAGTTGACTATATAGGAGTCTAGCAACGTAGCCATTATGCCATCTGCTGGTCCCCATTCTGTGTACATTTGAGAAGAATATATATTCTGTAGTTGGGTGGGGTGTTACATATGTCTGTTAGGTCTAATTGGCTTATAATATTGGGTTGTTGGAAAAGTCATAACATATATATCTTTTTTCCTTTGCAAAAATGCATCATGACTTTTCCAATGACCCAATATTATTTAAACTTTCTCTTTCCTTCCTAGTCTTCTATCTGGTTGTTATGTGCAGTGCTCTAAAAAGCAATCCCGTATGGGAAGCTTATCAGTTCAAGGCTGGAGATCGCCCTGAGGAAGCCAAGCATATCATGTATGCCCATGATCCGAGACGGCCAAGGCTGGAAGGGGAGGGGCGTGTGGATCACAGCATCAGGACCTTTTGGGAATGCTCTCTCTATGCCTCTCTCATTCATTAAATAAACAAACTTTAAAATGTGGGGACCAGCAGGTGGCATGGTAGTTAAGGCACTGGACATCCCACATGGCCTACCATGGTTCAAGTTCCATACCTAGTGGCTTGCTTTCTCAATTTCCCTCTCTGTGTGTCTCTCTAGGGTCAAATTAAAATAAGTGAATGGATAAAGAAAAATAATTCTAAAAGAAAAAGAAAAAATTAAAATGTCGAATATCAGTGTTTCCTACTGCTATTGTAGCAATACTGTTGTATTTTGTTGTATTTCTCTCTTCAAATTTTATGATTGTTTGCTTCATATATTGGGTCATCAGGAAAATCATAACACATTTTTGCATAGAAAAACCTAGAAAAATATGGTACAACTTTCCTGATGACCCAATATTTCAGAGCTCTGTTACTTTGCATGTAAATTACTATATTTGTTATATCTTAATGAATTGATTATTCTTCATTTTATACTTATATACTTCATCATATATTCGTCTTTGTCTATTCTAACATTTTTTACTTCCAGTCTATCTTGTCCAATATCCACATAGCCACCTGGCTCTCTCTTGGTTTCAATGTGCATGGAATATCTTTTTTTATCTTTTTACTTTCAAATAAAGCATGTGTCCTTAGAACTAAAGCTAGTCTTCTAAGCAGCGTGTGGTTGGATTTCTTTTTTTTTTCTTTTTACTTAAGGGTGCATGTGCTCACCAAAGGCACAGAGAAAGAAGGAAAGTGAAAATTGCCCCCCAGGGAGGAGTCTCTTCTCCACTCTCTTCTCGGCATTTCAGGAATGCACACACAAGCTCCTGGTGTGGTTTTCTTTTCTTTTTTTTTTTTTTAATTACTTGATTTAATTTGATTTATTTAAATTTGACCAGAGAGAGAGAGAGAGAACGTGAAAAAGCAAGCCGCCAGGTACTCAAACTGTAGTCAGCCATGCGGAAATCCAGCACCCTTAACCATCATGCCACCTGCTGGCCCCTCTGATGTGGTTTTCAAGTTGCAGGGTCTGGTACATGCACTTCAGAGTTGCCATGACGGATTCAGTGTCTTAACCACTGCACCACCTACTGGCCCAATCATCTTTTAAAAATCACACTGATGGCATAATGGTTATGTCACTGGACTGCCACATGGCCGACCTTGGTTGAGTCCCGGACCCAGCAGCTTGAAACTCACACTGAGCATATGTGCATGCATGCCCAAAATAGTGAGAGGAGAATGGAGAAGACGGGATTGCAGTGTGGCCATCCCCTCTTGGGGGTGGTTTCTCACTTTCAGTCTTTCTAGCGAGCGCACGTGTCCTACAGCAAAAATCTCTCTTCAAAAAAATAAATTCTGAGACTAGCAGTTGGCCAAATGGTTATATCACTGGACTCACAAGTAGTCGAGTGCAATTCAAGTCCTGGATCCGGTGGCTTAAACTCATACCAAGCATGTGTGCATGCGTGCCCAGGATCCCAAGAGGGAAATGGAAGAGAAGGGATTGCAGGGTGGCCATCTCCCCTGGGGGGTGATGTCTCACTTTCTGTCTCTCTGTCTCTCTCTGTCTTTCTGGTGAGCGCACGTGCCCTATAGCAAAAACCTCTCCAAAAAAAAAATATATACCTTCTGCTAATCTCTGCCTTTTGGTTAGAGTTCAATTATCATAAGGTGGTACTTCTACCATTTTGCTATTTGTTTTCTATATAGCTTTTCTTTTAAAGCTGTTTTGTTCTTTTATTACTGTCTTTTGTGTTTAGTTGATATTTTGTAATGACGTGGTCTGGTTCTCTTCTCATTTCTTTTGATGCATATTCTGTAGATATTTTCTTTGGTTACCATGGTGAATGCATATAGCATCTCAAAGTTATAATGATCTAATTTGAATTAATAATTTAATTTCAATTACATATAAAACTCTACTCTTATATAACCCTGTCCTCTGACCCATTGTGATATTAGTTTTTAGGAGTCACAAACACTCAGATATAAACATACCTCATGTGCTGTATAGCCAATAGGAAGGATGGTTTTTCGTGCAGCTTTGGGGTAGGGCATAAGCTTGTGTATTCCATGAGTGGGTGAAGCATGGTTCCTAGTTCTGTCCTAGTTCTGTTCCCACAAATAGAACAGTATATATGAGACAAAGACAAATACATAAGGGATCTTATGGCGTGGCACCTTCTTTTTACCTAAAACCTGCCAGATTATCTTAGCTGTGAAAACAGACACACTAAAAGTGGTGTTTTGGGGTGTTTTTTGTTTGTTTTGTCAATGGAAGAATACTGAATTACTCTTTTTATTTCTTGTAGCTGTTCAAAAGAAATCCAAATGGCGGTTCTGCTGAAATTTGTGTCAGAAGGGGACAATATCCCAGATGCATTAGGTCTTGTTGAATATCTTAATGAATGGCTTCAGATAATCAAACCATGTGTAAGTTTTACTGTAGCATAAACTTCTGATTTGTCTGGTTCTGTATTCATTAACTTGCATTTAAGTACCATAAAGTAGACAAATTAAGTGAAAGTTTATGTTAAATATAGATATGTCTACATAAAATTTTAGTTTAATTTGAACTTTTTTTTTTTTTAGAGGTTTTTGCTATAGGGTGCGTGCACTTGTCAGAGAGAAACAGACAGTGAGAGGGAAAGTGAGAAATCACCTCTCAGGGGGATGCCTATGCCAAAACCTCTTTTCCACCATTCTCCTCCTGGGATCTTGGGCATGTACATACATACGCCCAGCATGATTTTCTTTCTTTTCATTTTTTTCAAAGAATTACTGTATTTAGCTTTATATGTGTATTTATTTATTTTAAAGTTTGACCAGAGAGGGACAGAGCGAGAGACAGTGAGAAGGCAAACTTCCAGGTCTGAGACTCAATCCATGATCGATCTTGTGGGAGTTCAGTGCCCTTAATCACCATGCCACCTGCCGGCCCCTGGGATGATTTTCAAGCCACTGAGTTCAGGACTCGAACTGTGGTCGGCCATGTGAGAGTCCAGTGACATAACCACTATGCCATCTCCTAGCCCTATTTTTTTTTTTTTTTAAGATTTTTTGCTATGGGGCATGTGTGTTTGCCGAAGAGACAGAGACAGAAAGAGAAATCATCCCCCAGTGGAGTTGGCCATGCTGCAGTCACTTCTCCTCCAGTCTGTCCTTGGGATTTGGGGCACACACACACACATGCAGCCGGCATGAGGTTCAAGCTGCCAGGTCAGAGATTCAAACTGATCAGTCACCTGAGAATCCAGCACCTTCACCACTTCCACCTGCTAGCGCCTTAATTTGTACTTTTGAAAATAAGAGAGGTCTGGGAGGGCAGGGTGGGGAAAAAGAAAAGAAAAAAAAAAAAAGGATTGTGAGTCCTGCCAGGTCTGGGACTCGAACCACATAGATGGCCCTGTGGGATCCAGTGCCTTAAACTCCATGCCACCTGTTGGACCCTTTCTGGCATATCTTTATGATATGGAACTTAAAGAGATTTATGTCCAGCTCATGTGAAGATACAGAAATTTCTTACTGTATTTTTCTTTAGAATAAAATCTGGCTAAGTGTCAGAACCCAAAGACTTAAAGGGACAGTTTTGTTGTTTATTGTTTTTGTTTTTGTTTTTTAAGAGAGATATTTGCTATAGGGTGCATGTGTTCACCAGAGAGACAGGAAGCAAGAAGTCACCCCCCAGGGGAGATGGCACACCACAATCCCTTCTCCTCCATTCTCCTCTTAAGATCTTGGGTACACACGCACATGAACCCAGTGTGAGTTTAAGCCACTGGGTTCAGGACTCAAACCGTAGTCAACTATGTGGGAGTCCCGCGATGTAGCCATTATGCCATCTGCTGGTCCCCAAAGGGAGAGTTTTGTTTTGTTTTGTTTTTAACTCAGAGAAAGAGATTTGCTATAGGGCGTGTGTGCTAGCTGGAAAGACAGAGAGAAAGCAAGAAATTACCTCCCAGAGGGGATGGCCACACTGCAATACCTTCTACATTTTTCTTGGGATTTTGGCCACACCTGCACGCATCTGTGCCTGGCATGAGTTTTAAGCTGATAGATAAGTCCGGGACTCAAACCATGGATGGCTTCATGGGAGTCACATGCCCAACATGAGTTTTAAGCTGCTAGGTCCAGGACTCAAAGTATGGACGACTTGGGACCAGCAGTTAGCGTAATGGCTATGTTGCTGGACTCCCACGTAGTCGACTGCGGTTCGCGTCCCGGACCCGGTGGCTTAAAACTCACGCTGGGTGTGTGTGCCCAAGATCCCGAGAGGAGAATGGAGAAGAAGAGATTGCCGCGTGGCCATCCCCCTGGGGGGTGATTTCTCACTTTCTGTCTGTCTGTCTGTCTGGCGAGAGCACGCGCCCTATAGCAAAAACCTCTCCAAAAAAAAAAAAAGGCATGGACAACTTCACAGGAGTCCAGCAACCCGACCATTACTCCATCTTCTGGTCCCAAAGGCAGAGATTTTTAATACTTAGGAGTTAAAAGGAGATTTGATGGTAAAGTTGAAGATTAAAATGTTTTGTTCTTCAATTACAGAGTGATGACCCTACAGCATCTGCCTTGCCATGGAAAATACCAAGCTCTTGGAGGTTACTCTTTGGCAGTGGTCTGCCCCCTGCACTTTTCTGATCAGTTTTCCGTTTTAGACTTACATCCCAACATTCTGTACACAATATTACCGACATTCTATGTGAAAGTCTATATTATTCGAGAATGTATTAGGAAATAAATATTTACTTTTCACAGTCTTAAAGAAAAAGGATTAACCAAAGGTCATTTTGCCATGCTTTTTATGATATACAATAAATGTAAATTTGTACAGCAGAACTTTGTTGCCCAGGTAATTTGTCTGAAATATATATCTATTTTTTTAAAAAATAATTATTTATTTTATTTTATTTATTCATTCACTTATTTTTTAGTTTGATCAGAGAGAGACCGAGGGTGACAGTGAGAAAGAGAGGAAGTGAGAAAGTAAGCCACCGGATTCAGGACTTGAACCCTGGTCGGCCATGTGGGAGTGTACAGCACCTTAACCACCACACCTCCTGCAGGTCCCCTATATATCTATTTTTAAACACTCATTTTGTGAGCCCAGCAGTTAGCATAACTGCTGGTATCTAGTATTTTAATCAAAAGGGAAATAGAAACAGGCTACAAAATCCAGTATTATTTACATAGCAAAACGAGACATGCACTGAGTACTGTGGAATATCACAGGCTCTCGTTTTATAGATGACAGAGCCAGGTGCACAGGTAATTAGCTGTGGTTGCAGACACGTGAATCATGTGTAAGCAGTGACTAGCATGTAGTAGGCATTAAAAAATAAAAATCTTTATTTTTTCTTTTAAGTATCCTGAATTATTAAGGTGGGCCCAATGTAATGACAAGGGTTCTTATAAGTGAAAGAGGGAGAGAGATACAAAGATGGTAAGCTATTGGTTTTGAAAATGGAGGAAGGGGCCATGAGCCGAAGTGGGCAGCAGCCTACAGAAGCTATTAACAGGCAAGAGGATTGTTTTTTTAAATAATTATTTTATTTAACTTTACTTATTTACTTGCTTATTTTAATTTGACCGGAGAGGAAAGTAAGAAAGCAAGCCAGCAGGTCTGGGACTTAAACCACAGTCGACCATGTGGGAGTCCTGCGCCCTTAACCACCACCCACCTGCTAGCCCCAAGGCAGAAGGATTCTTCCCAGAGCAGGAGGAGCACAGCCCTGCCATCACCTTGATTTTAGTCCAATAAGCCCCATTTTATTTTTTTGTGAGGTTTTTGCTATAGGGTACATGTGCTCATCAGAAAGAGACAGGACGGTGAGACAGAAAGCAAGAAATCACCCCCCGGGGGGGATGGCCACACTGAAATCCCTTCTCCTCCAGTCTCCCCTTGGGATCTCAGGCATGTACGCACGTGGGTGGCATGAGTTTAAGCCACCGGGTCCAGGACTCAAACCAGTCGACTACATGGGGAGTCCAGCGACATAGCCATAACACCAACTGCTGGTCCCCAGTACACCCCATTTTAGACTTAGGAAAACTGTGTGTGGTTTTAAATCATTAAGTTTTCATAATTTATTACAACAGAAATAGGAAGCTAATGACAAAATGAGTTTATTTTTTTAAGAGGTTTTTGCTATAGGGCATGTGTGTTCACCAGAAAGACAGAGACAGAGAGACAGAAAGCGAGAAATCACCCCCAGGGGGATGGCCACACCGCAATCCCTTCTGCATTCTCCTCTCGGGATCTTGGGCACGCATGCACACGCACCTGGCATGAATTTTAAGCCACCGGGTACGGGACGCAAACCGCGGTCGACTACGTGGGAGTCCAGCGACATAGCCATTACAACCAACTGCTGATCCCCAATAAGCCCCATTTTAGACTTCTAACTTACAGAGCTGTAAGGAAAAATAAATTACTTCAATTATGTTTTTTAGTAGTATTGTTTCCTAAAGAAAATCACTCTTTGATTGTTGCTCTCCCTGTCAGAATTGTGTGCACTCTAACATCTTTGGTTGTGGTAGTCTAGTTTTCCTAGTAATTTCGTTAATGTGCTGTGAAAGATTGGAAATTTGAGTATGTAGTGTGTATGGTACTAAATTGTGATTAAAGATTGGAAATTTGAGTATGTAGTGTGTATGGTACTAAATTGTGATTAAAGATTAGAAATCTGAGTATTTAGTGTGTATGATACTAAATTGTGATTTGATGGGACTCATAACAGCTTTCAACATCTGAAGACAGTGGTTCCTGATATCCTCTTAAGGAAAATTTGCCTACAGATTTGAAGCTGAATGTTACTGGAATAACTTAAAAAGAATCACTATACTTGGCTTTTTACAATTTTTGGCAGGCATGTTAAGAATTGGGTACAAATTGAAATGTCTGTACTGATCCTCGACACAACCAGTAAATCTAAATTACAAAAGAAAAGAAAAAGAAAGTATATGAAAATAAAGTTCTCTGGTAAAAATAGACAAATGGATAATCCTTTAGTATATAATGGTGATGTAAAAGCACTTTTACTTCTGGTGCAATTAGAAGAGACCAGCAGGGAGGAAGCTGTCTCGCTGCCTGTGTGCCATGGTGGCGTGGAGAGGGAGAGCGGGGAAGTGAGAAAGCGGGCCACCCAGTCTGAGTCCAGCACCGTTAAACACCACAGCACTTGCTGGCCCCAGAAAGCGTTCTTATTGAGATGAAGATTCCTCATGGCTCCTGAGAACTAGTGATTTCAGGGTAAAAGTGAAATGAAGATTTCCTATTGATAATTCAGCCTCCAGCCCACAAACCTGAGTGGTAGGGAGCTCCTCTAGCCTTCTCTCTATCTCTGACTCTGTGTCTCTGTCTCTGTCTCTCTCTGCTTCTGTCTGCTCATTTTCTTTGCAATTTTTCCTTCTTAAAATTTGTTAAAGGTAAAGTATTCTCTTGCTCTCAGCTCCACCTTTGTCTTGTTAATAATCCCCTCTCCTCCTCCCACCCAGGCAGGAGAGACTGGAGGCAGGTCTTCAGACGAAGATTCCTCATGGCTCCTGAGAACTAGCGTGCTGCGTGGTTTTCTATTTTGTGCTTTTTTTTTATTTTTATTTTTAAAGTTTTTTTTCCTTCTTTTTCTCTATTTCTTTGTTGTTGTCATTGTTGTTTCTCTCTGTCTGTTTCCTTTTCTTTTTACCTCATCTCTCTGCGCGTCATCTCCATTTCCTGTGCTTCTAGACAGATCTAATGGAACTTTAGCCAAACATCCAAATACTATTAGGGTTAATATATTCCTCAATATCTACTGAATCTGCTGCACAAAGAGAACGGCAAAGAGATTCCAGATCACCTCTTTCTGCACGCTCCTGAATGCTCAGATTGAACTTTAAGAATTAGGAAGAAACACTCCATCCATCAGATTACTAGAAATCACTGCAGGACCACAAAAAATATGGGAAAGCAGGAAAATACCTCTCCTCCAAGAGAAAAGAATAACTCCTCTTCATCCACAGACAGTTCAATGGAAATCATGGAAATGTCTGATAAAGAATTCATAATAGTGAAGCTAACAGAGATGGAAGAGAAGAGAGACAATGAACTGCAGAAGAGAAAGGAGAAAAGAGATGATGTGTTCCAGGAGGTGAGGAAATTCTTGCAAGATCTAAAAGAGGAATTAATTATGCACTTTAAAAAAGAATCAAAGGAATCTGTTAGATTTGAAGGCTGTAATACAGGAAGTTAAAATCTCCCTTGAAAGTATTAAAAGCAGATTAGATCATACAGAAAATAGAATCTCAGATGTAGAAGAGAAAATGGCTGACCTAGAAAAATCAACCACAAAGACTAAGAAAATGAATTTTAAAAAATGAGAATAATATACGAGAAATACTAGATACCATCACACGTCCAAACAGCCATATAATTGGTATCCCAGAAGGTGAAGAGACTCATAAGGGCATTGATAATCTATTCCATGAAATCCTGCAAGAAAACTTTCCAAACCTAGAGAGACACGCAAAGATCCAGTCCCAAGAAATACAAAGGACCCCAAATAGAATCAACCCCAAAAGACCTCGAAGACACATTATAGCCAGATTGACCAAAACCACAGACAAAGACAAGATACTAATAATTGGCAAGAGAAAAACATCAAGTTACCTACAAAGGGTATCCCATCAGGATAAGAGCAGACCTCTCATCAGAAACAATGTGAGCGAGGAAAGAATGAGAAAATATATTCAAAGTGTTAAGGGAAAAGCAGTTTCAACCAAGACTACTGTATCTAACAAGATTATCCTTCGTATGGGAAGAAAAGAATATTCTCAGATAAAGAAAACCTAAAGAACCAGCAGTTAGCGTAATGGCTATGTCACTGAAGTCCCATGTAGTCAACAATGGTTCCTGGACCTGGTGGCTTAAACTCACGCTGGGTGCGTGTGCATGTGTGCCCAAGATCCCGAGAGGAGATTGGAGGAGACGGGATTATGGCGTGGCCATCCTCCTTGAGGGGGGGCGATATCTCGCTGTCTCTCTGGCGAGCACACTTGCCCTATAGCAAAAACCTCTCCAAAAAAAGAAAAGAAAGAAAGAAAAGAAACCCTGAAAGAATTTACCAACACCAGACCAGATCTCCAAGAAGTTCTCAAGGGAGTGCTATATCAGGAAAATTAAATACAGACACACAGAAATAAAGAGTTTAAAAGCTAAGAAAATGGACAACTTAATCATAGGGACAAGACTGGAGTTGAATATTATATCCCAGAATTTAGTCAGGAATATTGAACCACAACAGAAGATAAAGTACATGAGACTGAATTGGTGAAATCGAATTTTATGGCTTTTCACTAAAACAGTGCTGATTTTCTTGTAGGCTTTGTGGTCCAGTTTTAAGGATTTGTGTCCTGTCTTGAGATGTCGATAAGTTCATGTACCTACCATTTAAACAGAATCCTAACCTGTTTCCTAGCTTTAAGTTTTAAGCAACATTTCTTAGAATTTTTTTTATTTAAGTTAAAACTGGTTTCTTGAAATTATCAGTTGAACTTGCTATTGAAAGTAGATTATTTAAGAAATTGTGTGATCAATACAGTGTGGGGGGGAAAAAGATTGGAAGACTACTGTAGGCACCAGAGGTAGTGTGAGAAGAGGGTAGGAAAGGACAGAGGGTCAGAAATAGGAGTTTTACATATATATATATATATAGATATAGATATAGAAATGGAAAATTATCGATGCTAACATGCATGATTAAGCCACCATGCAGTATATTCTGGATGGGAAATCACATTTTGTATGCTGTGACGATGCTTAGGGAATTAATGTAAATTAAGTTAAAAAAAAGTTTCAGAAAAAAAAA